AAGTCATCATACTGATACTGAACTACACTATAACGACATCTAACGACATAGTTTTTCACGTTGACAGTTGAGAGCGTCAACTGACCAGATGCAGTTGACAGTTCAGAACGCCAACCAATGCGACACCATGACAGTTCAGAACGTCAACTGACGAAGTGGCGTTGACAGTTCAGAACGCCAACTAATGCGACACCTTGACAGTTCAGAACGTCAACTGATGAAGTAGCGTTGAGAGTTTAGAACGTTAACGGCAAAACCGTTTCCGTTCTCGTTTAAAATTTTGCCAAACCAACGTGAACGGCTACAGCCCTAGGCATATCTAACTTGTGAATCAGTGTCGTTCCTCCACGGTCAGTCCTAAGTAAAAAAACGAAAACGTTTAATTTCGTTCATTATTATTTGTATCGTCCTCATCGGCTATGTTTATGAATGGAATTATATTTTGTTCGGCGTATGATTCGAACGGCTTGAGAACATCTTCAATACGAGAAATAAGAGAATTTACACGAACCGATGGAGGCAATCAGCGTTTTTTAGAGGGAGGAGATACATTTTGAATTTCATATTTGTCATCAATATCGGTTATTTCTATTGTACGTTTTTGAGGACCATTTTTTGCAATACGTGTTGTTTGAGAATGATTCAAATTTGTTCGTGGTCGTATTATTGTACTTTGTTCAACCTGTTCGAGAGATAATGATGGAGCGGTTGTTATTGGTGAAAGTTTCGTTTCCGGTAATGGTGCAAGTTTTATTACTGCTGATAATGTGTTTCCGTCAATACCTTTACCTGGACTTAACGACGTAGCAATCAACGAAAAATAATCCCATACTTTTAATTGCGTTCTTAATGGCAATGTTGTTATTACTTTCGATATTTCAACAATTATATCATCGTATTGTGCATGTACTGATGATGGTTCAAAATCTTCGTATTTAAATGGTGGTGGAGGTTCATCGCCTGTTAAATCATCTGTTTATTGTAACGACGGCGATGATAGGGTTGATGATGTACGAAAATTCGACATAAAAGATGGTATTGATAGTAAACAATTGTCATCGACCGAGTCGAAATTCTTAAAGGAAAGGCAGGAGTTTTTGTTCACTTATTATTAAACCAGCAAATGTTTTTCAATGCGTAGTCTTTTTAAGCAAAGTATTTCTGCAAAATTTTCGAGAAAGTTTCTTCGGTAATTTTATTGTTGTTTCTGAACTGACACATCAGAGTACTTCAAGGCAGAGTCTTTTGTGCAAGGGGGAAAGCACGGAATCCTGAATTCTCCTGGATTCCAAGGATTCTCTATGATTCCTTCGGATTCTCCAGGATTCCATAGGCTTCTCCAGGATTCTATAGGATTCTCTTGGAATCCATAAGATTCCCTTGGATTCTCTGGAACTTCCCCTCAAAACAGAATATTTTGTTCTGTTTTTGGGAAAAGTTTCCCAAAATATAGAACACTTTTGTTCTGTTTCGGGAGAAGTGTAGAATCCACCCGATTCCATTGGATTTCTTTGGATTCCGTTGGATTCCGCTGGATTCCTTTGGATTTCTTTGGATTCCTTTGGATTCCTTTGGATTTCTTTGGATTCCTTTGGATTTCTTTGGATTCCTTTGGATTCCTTTGGATTCCATTGGATTCCTTTGGATTCTATGAGATTCCGTTGGATTCTATTGGATTCCGTGGGATTCCAGGATTCCAGGATTCCGTGCTTTCCCCCTTGCTTTTGTGACATCAACAGAATATATTATTATGTATACCGTGGTAGACTGTGCTAACGGTGGTGTTGGATTTGGCAATGGATCACTGCTTATTCCATGAAGCAACACATAATCAAGTGCATCACCACGTTGCTGTATTAAACATTGTGGATCCGATAAACGTGCTGCACTGACCCTTTACATACAAAAGAAAAATTATGCAACTGTCCAGAAGTCTGTTTATGTACTGCATACTTTTTTCCAGCTTTTTCCAAAACATCATTTACTCTTCTGACTCGGCTGGTGGCTGTTAACGCAACATAATGCTCAGTTATCTCTCCGTAATTCACCGTAATCAGTTTTTGAACAATATTTTTGGAATGCTTAATACCTTGATTGTAAAGACCGGTAATAACTTCGATTTCTAAATCCGATACTCGTCTATACGGTGCTCTTTCGTGTGTTGTCATTTTGACGATTGAAATTTAACGTTTAAGCAAAAAGAGTGTATTTTAAGCAAGTCAGCTTAATTCTTTTTTGTTTATATATAATTCAACGGTTTCTTCACGTTTTCTTTCCGAAGAATTTCGAATTTAAATCAGTTAGAAGAGTTTAAATCTTATTTTCTACAATTTACACATATTTTACGTATTATGCCACTTTTATCATTTCTTACTATATATCATATCACCATGCCCGCTGACCATTACGAAAGAAGAGTACTTACTCAGGTATATACAGAATTAGGACCAACAACAAGACTATTTTGCTCCTTAACGGGAATTACCCTACAATCTTTCGCAGACATTTATCCGCTATTTGCAACATCAAGTATACCAAAACAAACAAGATTTCACATGCGTTCTCCATCCCCACGCCAATATGCTAATATTCTCCTCTTATTATTAATATGGCTAAGAACGTATTCCTCATGTTTCACGTGCGCTTGTAGATCTAAAATGGAATCGGCTCTGACACGAGCAGGCTAACGTCACTCAAATTTGAACGTTCTTCTATCACCACAAAAGTCGTGGGAGTCCATTTTGAATGAACATCAACTCAATATCCAATTTTACATCCTGAACGCTTTGTAGTCGCTTGAGATGATATAACAGTCTTCTTTGACGGGCCACAATAAAAAAATGAAATGAGCCATAGATAGATGTTCTGCAAACGAGAAACACCCTAAAGTTTTTCTTCAAAGATAGGTTTTTGTCAAAGAAGCTAACCGAAAAATATTTTATAAACTGTTAAAAGGCGTACTCTGAAAAAAACAAAATGTATGATACAGACCTTAAAGTGAGTTTCGTGCACACTACAGAAGTTAAAAACGGTTTCGAGAATTGAAATCATTTCTAAACCCTTTTAAACGCTCCGTAGAAAATCTACGAAACCTTAAAAAGGTTTCCTAGATCTTTGATAAATGTTATTAAGGGTTTCATACATTCCTACGAACCTGAAAAAAATAAAACCTAAAGGGTTTAGACATAGTTTCAACTCTACACCGTTTCCTTTATGCCTAAGATATTTTGTAGGTGACAGTGATGTCAACATCAATTATTTCGCTCACCAAATGGCACCCAGATAATTCACGATTAGAAGGGCTCCTTCGTACTACTTCTACCGGCGATAAAAAGGACGATGGATAAAAATTGTTAAGT